TTAAGGTCAAGCAAGGCCAGGCAAGGCAAGGTAAGGCGAGGCAAAGCCAGACAAGCGAGGCAAGGCGAGGCAGGAAGAGGGAAGGCGAGGCAAGGCGGGGTAAGGCAAGGCAAGGCCAAGGAAGGCTAGGCAAGGCCACGCAAAGCCAAGCAAGGCGCGGAAAGGCGAGGCAAAGCCAGACAAGGCGAGGCAGGGCGAAACAAAGCGAGGTAAGGTGAGACAAGGCCTGGCAACTCGAGGCAAGGCCAGACAAGGCCAGGTAAGGCGAGGCAAAGCCAGGCAAGGTCATACCCAGCGAGGCAAGGCCAGGTAAGTCAGGCAAGTCAAGGCAAGACCAACCAAGTCAGGCAAGAACATGCAAGGCCAGGCAAGGCGAGGTAAGGCGAGTCAAGGCGATGCAAAGTCAGACAAGGCCAGGCAAGACCAGGCAAGGTGGGGCAAGGCGATGCAAGGCGAGGCAGCAAGGTGGGGCAAGACGATGCAAGGCGAGGAAAGTCAAGGTAAGGCAAGGTCAGGCAAGTCTAGGCAAGGCCACGCAAAGCGCGGAAAGGCGAGACAAAGCGAGGCAAGGTGAGACAAGTCCAGACAAGTCGAGGCAAGGCCAGACAAGGTCAGGCTAGGCCAGAAAGTAAAGGAAAGGCCGAGGAAGGCAAGGGAAGGCCAGTCAAGGCCAGTCAAAGCGTGGAAGCGCCAGGCAGGCAATGCCGGGCAAGGCGAGGCAAGGCGGTTTAATGTCAGACAAGGCCAGGAAAGGCAAGTAAGGCGAGGCAAGGCGAACAATGCCAGGCAACTCGAGGCAAGGCCAAGCAAGGCAGGCAATGCCAGACAAGTCAGGCAAGGCCAGGCTAGAACAGCCAAGGCAGGCAAGGCGAAATAAGGCTAGGCAACTCGAGGGAAGGGGAGGCAACGCCAAGCAAGACCAGGCAAGGCAAGGTAAGGCGGGGCAAGGCGAGGTAAGACGATGCAAGGTCAGGCAAGGCGAGGCAAGGCCAGGAAAATCGTGGCATGCGATGCAAGTAGAGGGAAGGCGAGGCAAGTCGAAGCATTCCGCGGCAAGGCGAGGTAAGGCGGGGCAAGGCCGGGAAGGCGAGCCAAGGCAATGGAAGACCAGGCAAGGCTAGTTAAGGCCAGGGAAGGCGATGCAAAGTCATGCAAGGGCAGGCAAAGTCAGGCAATGTAGGCAATTCCAGGCAAGGCCATGCAAGACGAGGCAATGCGAGGCAGGGCGAGGCAAGGCGAAGCAGGGGTATGAAAGGGGAGACAAAGCCTTGCAATACCAGGCAACTCGAAACAAGGCCATGCAAGGCCAAGCAAGGTGAAGCAAGGCGGGGCAATGACAGGCAAGTCCAGGCAAGGCCAGGAAGTCCAGGCAAGGCCACAAAAGGCCAGGCAAGTCCACGCAAGGCAGGCGAGGACAGGCAATTCCAGGCGATGCAAGGCGAGGTAAGGCGAGGCAAGTCGAGCTAAGGCGAAGCAAGGCGATTTAAGGTCAGGCAAGACCAGGCAAGGCAGGCACGTCCAAGCAAGGCCAGGCAATGCAAGGTAAGACGAGGCAAGGCGATTCAAGGCGAGGCAAGGCGAGGGAAGGCGAGGCAAGGGGAGACAAAGCGAGGTGAGGTGAGACAAGGCCTGGCAAATCGAGGCAAGTCCAGACAAGGACAGGCAAGTCGAGGCAAAGCCAGGCAAGGCGAGGCAAGGCAGGCAAGGCGAGGCAAGTCGTGGTAAGGCGAGTCAAGGCTAGGCAAGGGGAGGCAAGGCCAAGCAAGTCCAGGCAAGGCGAAGCAAGGCGGGGGAATGCGAGGCAGGGCCAGACTAGGCGAGGCAATTCGAGGCAAGGTGGGGCAAGGCCGGCAATGCCAGGCAAGGCAGAATAAGACGAGGCAAGGCGAGGGAAGACAGGGCGAGGAAAAGCGAGGCAAGATGAGGCAAAACGAGGCGAGGCAAGGCAGGGCAGGGCGATGCAAGGCCAGGCAAGGCGAGGCAAGTCCAAGCAACGCCAGGTAACTCGAGGCAAGGTCAGACAAGACCAGTAAGTCCAGGAATGTCCAGGTAAGGCCGCCCAAGGCGAAGCATAGAGGGAAAGACGGAGCATGGCGGGAAAGGCGGAGCAAGGCGAGGCAAGTCGAAGCAAGGCGAGGCATGGCCAGGCAAGTAGAGATAAGGCGAGACAAGGGGAAGTAAAGCCAGGCAAGTCCAGGCAAGCCAGGCATGGCCGCGCAAGGCGAGGCAAGGCGGGGCAAAGCGAGGCAAGGCCAGGATCGGTCAATAAAGGCCAGGAAAGGCCAGGTAATGCGAGGGAAATCGAGGCAAGGCCAGGGAAGGCAAGGCAAGGCGAAGCGAAGCGAGGCGAGGCAAAGCGAGGCAAGGCCAGGATCGGTCAATAAAGGCCAGGAAAGGCCAGGCAAGGCGAAGCAAGGCGGGGGAATGCGAGGCACGACCAGGCTAGGCGAGGCAATTCGAGGCAAGGCCGGCAATGCCAGGCAAGGCAGAATAAGACGAGGCAAGGCGAGGGTAGACAGGGCGAGGAAAAGCGAGGCAAGGTGAGGCAAAGCGAGGCAAGGCCAAGCAACGCCAGGCAACTCGAGGCAAGGTCAGTAAGTCCAGGCAAGTCCAGGAATGTCCAGGTAAGGCCGCGCAAGGCGAAGCATGGCGGGAAAGGCGGGGCAAGGCGAGGCAAGTCGAAGCAAGGCGAGGCAAGGCCAGGCATGGCCAGGCAAGGCGAGATAAGGCGAGGCAAGGCGAGACAAGGGGAGACAAAGCCAGGCAAGTCCAGACAAAGCCAGGCAAGTCCAGACAAAGCCAGGCATGGCCGCGCAAGGTGAAGCAAGGTGATGCAAGGCGGGGCAAAGCGAGGCTCGGCCAATAAAGGCCAGGTAATGTGAGGAAAATGGAGGCAAGTCCAGGGAAGGCAAGGCAATGCCAGGGAAGGCTAGGCAAGGCCAGGCAATGCGAGGCAAGCCAGGCATGGCCGCGCAAGTCGAGGCAATGCGGGGCAAAGCGAGGCAAGGCCAGGCTCGGCCAATAAAGGCCAGGTAATGCGAGGGAAATCAAGGCAAGGCCAGGGAAGGCAAGGCAAGGCGAAGCGAGGCGAATCGAGGCTCTTTGCCTAACTCGATCTGTGCATTACCCGGTCTCTGCCTTACCTTTTTTCTACCGGACGCGGTCTGCATTACGCGGTCTCTGCTTGACCCGTTCTCAGCCTGACACGGCCTTTGCAGAGACGCCTTGCCAGAGACCGGATCGTCAAGAGACCGAGTCCGGCACAAACCATGTTCGATAGGATGGTACGCCAGAGGGAGAGGTAGACAGCGATCGGGTGGTTAGAATTTAAAAAAAATTCAAAATTTTCGAAAATCAAGAAATGCTGGAAAGTGCCTTAAGAATGCACAGAACTAATAAAATCTGAAAAAATTCTACTTCAAAACAATTTTCAAAAATTTAGAATTTTTTTGTTTTTTGAGCGTCTTAGACAATTTCCTGCATGTTTTGACCTTTCGAAAATTTTCAAAAATTTGAAATACTTATTTCAAAAATTTCCCTACCAGATAACTATCAGAACCGGTCTCCGCTAGACTCTGTCGCTGCCTCACATGTTCTCTGCCGGACTCAGTTTCTGCATTATCAGGTCTCAGCTTCATCTCTGCCACACCCAGACTCTGCTTGACTCGTTCTCTGCATTACCCAGTCTCTGCTTCAGCAGGTCTCAGCCGCACATGGTCATTTCAGAGACGCCTGTTCAGAGACCTGGTGATACAGAGACATGATCATTATGAGGCCATGTCCAGCACAGACCGTTTCATGCAGGGGTGGTATGTCAGAGACCGAGACAGAGTTCAGGTGGGGAGAATTTTGAAAAAAGTGAAGGGTAGAGTGGCTATTTCAATTCAGTGTGGTAAAGGTTAATTTAGATCTCTTTCTTATGTCCAATCTTACTGTAAAATATGAAGGAGGTTTTATATACATTACAATGTATCACACATTTTCAGCCAAACACCCTGTCAGGAGCAAAATCTGTATAAACAATAAAACTCTAGAACAAGTCAACACATTTAATTATTTAGGCTGCATCCTATCTCAAGAAGGTGAGGAAGATATGCCCTCAAAAATATCAAAAATTTATACTAACAACCAGGGTCATAAACCAAAGTCTTCAAAACCCTCATTAGTACAACATACAAGACTAAACATTTACAGGACTCTAGTAAGACTGGTACTGTTGTATTGAAGTGAAGTCTGGACAATTAGAAAGGCGGATGAGAAAAGATTTCAAGCAGCAGAGATGAAATTTATGAGGAAAACTGCCAGACCACAAACAAAATGAAGAAATTCTAGAAAAATTGAAAGTCAAACCAGTCTCTAAATTTATTCAGAATTATTGTGACAATTGGAAAGATCACATTGAAAGAATGGACTTTAATAGAATCCCAAACCAACTTTTGAACTGCAGACCGAATGGAAAAAGAAGCCTGGGAAGACCATTAAAAAGATGGAATGAAACCGTAACAGGCCACTTGGCCTAATACTTGATGAATATTATGATGATGATGATGATGAAAATATATCACACCACTAGAAGAATAATGTCACAACTAAAAAAATGCTCATTTTGCAATAGCTTCCTCATAATTCAACAAAATTGAATTAAAATTGGGTTTTTCCTCTCTCCTGAAAATTTGTATTTCTTGAGTTGTGACAGTATTCTTCTGGGGGTGTGATATATTATGTGCAAAACAGTAATTACAAAAATTAATTTGATGGGAACATGAAATAGGGTAAATATGCAATAGTTGTGGCTACATAAGCATTTGTATGTAGAAAAGAAATGAGAATTATGATAGTGTGAATGGGCATTCTTGTGGTAAAAATTGCAGCAAACAAAACAGATATTAATTTAATTAATCACTTGTTACAGTGTAGTACTGTGTTCTCCCTGCAGCAAAATCGATGGGAATACAGACATAAAAACTAACTTATTGCATGTTGGAAGCAAACAAACAAAATACTTTTAGTAGTAACTTTATTTACATCCAATGAATAATTACTGTAAATTTACATAATGTGTCATTTTCTTTTGTAATAAAGCAATGCAAATAACCGCAGAACTAAATATTTCAAAATATTCAAATATATCTAAAATTACATTAGCACTTCTAAGGAACCTATTTCAAGCTCTGGAGTGTTTTGCTGATATTTCTCAGTATATGTGAAGGGATCACTTCAGACAGTACTGGGCTGAATGTTGGATGAGTGGACAGCATTCGAAACAGCTGCTTGGCAAAACACCTACAAATAATATATAATACACTAACACTGGTTCATAACCACTCTGTGTTTTTCAATATCATAATACTGTACAATTTAATGACAGGCACTTTTTAACAATTCTTTTATATATGTTCTTCTTTTGTTTGATCCAGTAGCACTGGCCTGTGATACTATTCTTTCATATTGTTTATATGGTTACCCTGAATCTGGCAGGTCTGCTGGGAAACTACCCACACTATGTGAAAGATTCTGAGAAACTATTCTACAAACTGGGCCCTCTGTAGATCAAGGTAAAAGACACCATCATCAAATTCGGTGCTGTCCGACTCTTCACCCAAATGTCTTTAGGAATATTCCGAAGGACAATCCTTTACTCAACAGTACATATCACAAAATCGAATGTAGCTTTTAGCTGGAGGGTCAACTCCCTTTCCTGGAAATTGATGTATAAAACAGATGGCTCCTGAGTCAGAGTATACAGGAAGCCAAACTACACCAATCACTACCTGAATACCAGGTCATAGTACCAGCCATCAAAATAGTTGGCTGTGCTTTCTAATTTGGTGTACAGGACCAAAGTCATTTGTAACCTAGACAGTTTCCACAAAGAATTTAAATTTCTCTGCAACACCTTCAGACAGAATGGCAAAAGCAACTGGTAGAGTCTCTGGCTCTAAATCCATCACAGTACATACATAACATACAGCATACAGAGTACATCAACTTCAGCAGCTTTCTTACTCACTGTCATTATGATCAAATTCAAGAACAGGGTGCTGTCCAAGCATATCAAAGACTGTAATAAGTCACCCATTAAGGCAAGTCTTGTTTGCCTTAATACGTCAAGGATAACCTGACATTAAAATCACTGACTGGACAAATTGAATGCTGAAATTACAGGTCAAAGAGCACCATCAATATATTCACTTCTTTATGACCAAATAAGAACACAGTATAAACCTAGGACATTGGATTGAATTACTGGATACTGGTAACCTGGCCAAAAAATTCATACGAACCATATCAATACGAAAGAGAATGAGCTCCATCCTAACAACATGAGAGGAGAGGAAGGTTTCTCCATGAGCAGGTTAATGGATTCCTCTAATTCTCACTGTGAAGGTACTAAAGAAGACTGTCTCTGAGGATAAGGCACATAATTCCACTCAGCCTTCCTCTGTCCACAATCCTTATAAGGACCTCTCTTGGGTGTTCATATTTCATGACCTCCTGTTTCCCAGTGGCCACCTAGCTTTATACAGGATGATTCAATAATAACTAACTAACTAACTAGATGGCTTACCGAACCCAAAGGTTCATCACTGAATTAACCAAAGCCCTCCACCGGACCCTGTCCTGGGCCAACAAAATCAAGTCTCCTTCAACTCCTATCTCCCACAGATCCCGCCTGACATTATCCTCCCATCTACGTATAGGTCTCCCCAGTGGTCTCTTCCCCTCAGGCTTCCCAACCAATACCCAATAGACATAAAAATTTTACTGGTAGGTTTTATGCCAAAATTAAATTACATCAGTTCATATAAACATAGGTCTCTAAATCCTTAGTATTCAAGCTAAGGCCACAAGACTGAATAAAGTACTTTCAGATATGTAATTATTTCATTTTTCTTCTACATGAGACCAATCATGCTGTTAAAGAAAATGCTTGAAATGTTGACCATTAACTTCCACATAGCACTGAGCACTGAGCACATCAAAGCAATGACTATGGCTCCTCCTCAAACATCCCTGGAGTAATCTGAATGACATGGCATCCACCTCCCAGCTCACTGTTTTAGGCCCACCACATCAATGACAGCACACACTATACTTTTCAAATATCACCACAAGAAAAAATCCAGCAGATTTAAATCAGGCAAATGCAGAGGCCATGTGATTGTTCATTCAGGATAGATATTGTGAAGAAGTTCTAACTCTGATGGTGAAATAAGGAAGAGAAAGCACCACCATGCATAAACCACATCTGCACTCTTCTTCCCAAAGGGACATCTTCCAACTCTGGCTCAATGTTGACTACGAAGTTTAGATAAGAAAGCCCCATCAACCTTTGCAGCAAACTATGAGGGCCAATCAGTCTGTCCCTGAGTATGAATGCTCAAATATTTGTTGAGAATCAAAACTGGTGTCTCATTGAATGACGATTTATCCGTAAACATCAGAGAACCAAGGTTGAAGGCATATTGCTGCAGCAGCCATTGGTAGAAGTTGGTTTATTGTCGGTAGACATCAGGGCATGGTCCATGTATTTATTGCATGTGATATGGATATAGGCACTGCTTGTGATGACCTTGCTACACAATCAACTTGGATGTCTTATACTGCAGTGATCCTCCTCTAGCCTGTTGCTGGATTGTTAGCAAAATGGGCCAGTATGCTTTCTTTCAAATCCAGAGCACACACTGCTCTGTCTCCCACAGTTGTGTGTGGCAGGAACAAAGTACCTCTTTCTCTAAGGTCTTTGTGAATACTGGTGAACATTCTTACACTCACACTTAAGTGAGCAGGAACTTGCTCCTTGTAAAGACACTGCGCCTGATGCACATGGCCATGACAAAGATTCATGTCTGCCAGCTCTGTGAATGTAGTTCACTGCCATGTTTGCACATGAAAACAATCTTTCTATTCAATGCACCGTTGTGTCAAAACTTCTGTTTACTTTTATCAGTCTTCATCCATACATCTGACTAGTTTCAAATCTTGCCAGCCAGCCATCTTATACAGATGGCAAGGTAGTGCAGTTAGATGGTTACCGTGACTAGCACCATCTGGGTCACTTCTCATGCTCTGCTTGCAAATGATGTTACAATACCAGTGTCTTGTATGCAACTTGATGTATAGCCATGCAATGTGTGTATGGCCACTAGTTATGCTCAGCAGGCCCTTTGTAAAATTCCAAAATGTCAGAAAGTAAAAATAACATATTTCCTTTGTGGCCTTGGTTTCTTCCCAGTGAGTGACAATTTCACACTTAAATGCCTTTGTAGAGCTACTGTGTGACAAGTTATAGAGGGTTAGCCTGTATCAGCGGCTTGTGGTAACTATGATGCATGTTCAAAATTCATGCCTTTACAAGTCTGAATGTGAGGTGAGGAATAATTTCCTGTGATACATTGTAAATTATGTATGTACTGCTTATTACTACATTCTAGATTATTTTGAACAGTTCCACATATTATTTTAGTCCCTGCCCGTTTTTTCTAGTCACAGTTCTAGAGCTTGGTCTTTCAGATCTGTCCCTCCCTTAGTAAAATTACAGTCCACCACACATCTTGTTTTCAATAATATACTCAACTCTGATTTTGCAGCCATTTATAAATTATGGAATGATGATATAATGAAAACATACCTTTTTATTTTTTAATTGTAGGACTACAATACCACTACCATCTACTGTAAGTTCACAATGAAATTACAATTAAATGTATCATGCATATGAGCTTGGAAAATGTATGCACTTCTTTAAAATAAAACCTGAAGGAAAGAGACCATTTGGAAAACCTCAGTACAGATGGGAAAACATTAAACTGGGTCTTAAAGGAACAAAATGTAAATAGAATTTAGCTGGCTTAAGACAGAGTCTAGTTTCAGACTGTTTAAACATGATAATGAATGTCTGGATCCCATAGAAGGCAGATAATTTATTGACTAGCTGAGTAACTGTACATTCTCAGGAAGGAGTCTACTTCATGGAGCTAAGTGGCTAAGATAATATTTAGCACCTTGTGCTGGCAGTGGCTGTCATAAGTGCAGGGCACATACCTGGTGTCCAGACTTCCTTCAGTTAGCAGATTGGAGCCAGCAATGAGGATCTTGTCTCTCATGTCTCCAGAGTGTGACATCACTTTGTCTACACCAATTTTGCTCACCAAGCTCACCAGCAGTCGGGCACTAGCAGTTCGTACAATGGCATTCTGATGGCTGCAATATTTCATTGTTTGTTCATGAGAGAAATTTGGGCACATGGAAACAAGAATTAGTCTTTTGCCACGTCTAATGCATTAAAAGGTAATAACATTTAACAAGATTAGAAAGATGCAGGCAAACAGTATTTCTACATGTAATCTTTGCACCTTTGGCATTCTTAATGGTCCTAGCTGTTCTGAATATCTATGATATAAACATTGACAATAATAATTACAACTTTATAGAACTTCCTTTCCATAACTGCAATAATAAAGTCATTATTTTGCAAACTTTACTACTGTTCATGCCTCATAACAAAAATCAGATCACACAGCTCTCATCTTTGATGTATTTTATCTATGAAACTGCTGTCATATTATTTCCCAATACATGTTTTACTTTTTATATTATTAAGATAATTCTCAGTCCCATAAATACTTGCAACAAATAAGGCAGACAAAAAGAACAACATTATTCATATCCACATAATCATTTACATAATTTATTTTATAATGCCTTGAAAGAAATACTCCATGACAAGTAGTATGCTGTTCTAAGTAGTGGATCTGTTGTGTCCATAATGATGGCAGCTTTAAGTAAACATTAAAAGGGGCTGTGTATTCTTTACACTTCACCTTATGCCCTTTCCTGTAATGACAGCCACAGCCCTTGAAGGGCTGATCACCTCGATCATCTTATCTAGGGCAGCATTGCTGTCTGCTCGCAGAAACCTGTTTGTATCAGCAGTTCTGTGCAATAAGGAGCTGACCAGCTCATCCAAATCCTGAAAGTATATAATTACATATTTGGGTCAAACTTGCAATTAAAAAACTCATTATTCAACAACATAAACTGACTAACTAGCTAGCTAACCAACCAACAAAACATCCAACCAACTGTATGGTGCTCCATAAAAGATGATGATGATCGCTCAGTTGTTCATGAAATTTCCTCCCGCCTTCTCTGAAACCCAATAAATTCAATACTGTGTTCAAAGGAGTCCACTACTGGATCTTACCCTGTGCCACATGAAACCAATATGCCCACTACACCCTGACATCCATTTTAGTATTAGTCAACCTAGACCTAGACCTCCAAAGTGGTCTCTTCCATTTCAGTTTTCCGGTCAAACATCTGTATAAATAGGTAATATTTAGATTTGCATCTTTAGTGTTCCTTACATTCTGGGACAGCCTGGGCACTATGGTTTTCAGAAATAATAAAAATTTCTGTTTCAGTATGTTTTATGTACAATTCCGAATTTGTTTTACATAAGTAAATTAAATACCTCTTCACTCTGAGATGGTATCAACTTCATCATCTACGAATTGCTTAAAAATCCACAACTTATGTCGTCCAATACCAAACCATCCACAAACAAGCAAACTACTCTTAAACTGGCCGACGATTTTTGGACGTTTCTGCGCTCTGCTGCCACATGATTTCGCAAGCCAATTAGCTTCGGAGAGTTGGTGACTTCAAATGCAAAGCAGTCGAGGAATGGTAAAGCACCACCGCAAAAGAAAATGCCGCAGTAAAATTTCGGATTTTAGGCCCTTCTGGATTTTGGGATGCCGGATGCGGGGTCCGACACCACAGTTAAACTCTGGGTTTATAAAATTTGTTCTATTTCTTTCTAGAATGACATCATTTTCCTTTGCCAATGGGTTTAGAGTACAGTACAGTACCTGCACACCATTTCTGTGTGAGTTTCTTTTTTTCAATTTTCTTCAAAATAATGCATGTCTTCTACTACATTTTGAACCATATTTTTTTATAATACAATTTCCTTGAATTTACAGTGATGTCTGTAACAGCAGGTTAGAATGTTGAAAGAATTCCACAGATTTATACACATATACCAGGCGCGTCCTCAAAGTAAGTTTCCCACTCGTCCCACAGCTAGCAAACCTTATATTGCGCAAAGCGACTGTGCGTACGTGATAGAGCAATAACGTAGCATGGCGCATGCACTAACGGCACCTCCCGCGTTCTCACAGTAGCATCGTTGCAGCTGTTGAAGATGGAGGTTCTTATTCCAGCTCCCGCCGACTGTGAAGTGCGGTCAGTGATAACGCTAGGCCGCACACGGCTCGACGGACAGCAAGTCTCCTGCAGGAGTTCAGCTGGGAGGTGTTTGATCATTCACCCTACAGCCCGGACCTCGCTCCCAGTGATTTCCATCTTTTCCTACACCTCAAGAAATTCCTGTCCGGTCAGTGTCAGCGTTTTGAGAATGACAGAGAGGCAGAGATGGTTGTCACACAGTGGTTCCAATCCCAGGCGGCCGACTTCTACGACACAGGTATTCAAAAGTTGGTCCCACGGTATGACAAATGTCTCGATTCCGGTGGCGAATATGTTGAAAAATAGCTGGACACTTGCTGTATCTGTTGCAATAAATATTTCCATGAAATTGTGTTTTGTTTCTGTAAACGGCCCCAGGGAAACTTACGTTGAGGACGCGCCTCGTATATGCTTTTATAGGAATGTGAATGCTTCATTAATGGGGGAAGAAGACTGTGATGACGATAATAACAACAAATGAGAGGAATTAAGTCAGCAGAAATGTGTTTCCTCAGAGTGGTCATAAGAATCAGAATTATGGTCCATGTATATGACAATGGTATTACAGAAGAACTGAATATAACAGACATCAATGTAATAGTAAAAAACTATAAAAGAATGACTAGAATATATGGAAAGAATGCCTATTAACTGAATCCTGAAGTTACTCTATCAATATGAATTGGAGAACAGAAAGGTTAGGAGTAATTCATCATCAAACATATGCATCATTGTTTGTTTTTTCACCATATAAGTCACACGATTACTGTTTGTTCATTATATTCAGTTTGCAACACAGTGACTATTTAAATGGCATAATTCTCACTATTAACTGTACAACTTATACACTTTTCATTTTACCGTGTCAAAATGACCATCAAGAGACACTTACAGTCTCCAGAGCCCTCTTCTGTGACAGGAAGAGCTCTCCACTCGCCTGGCATGCAGCACGTGCTACTTGTGAGCGGAGGTTACGCACTTGCTTCCCTACAGCCACAATAACAGAATGAAGCTGAGTGTGGATAGTTTCTGGGTGGTGGCGCATCAGTCGCATCAACAACTTCAGGCCCTGCAATGTCACCTCCCTGGAAAACAACACTTGTCTTATTTGGTTGCCATAACCTTCATTTATTACTACTCACACCTATTTTTTGATCAATCCTTCACATTTTCGTTAATTACAAATTCATGGGTTGCTAGTTTTGTATGCATATATTAACCCTTTCCTAAATGTTTTCATGTACATATAACATTTGAGTTGAAAATCCTAGAAGAGCATAAATATATAATTATTATAATGCTCTGCTTATGTCATCTCAGAACTTCACTGTAATGGTCACTTGATAATGAAATACTGTCCAAATTAACAAAATAAAAACACATTAAACAACTGACACACTTACTGGCATTAATTAACACTTAGAGTAGCTAGTTAATGACAGACTCTGGTAGTACAACTGTAAATTTTAACACCGCTAACAACACAGCCTTCCACTGAATATGATCCTGGGCCAGTTCGATCCATCTCCTTACCTCCTTAACTCACCTCCCTAAGATTAAACTTCTACCAAACTACACAGTACTACAACCCAGAAGACAGCAAACCTAAAACCCTAATCATCTCCTTAATATTCATATTAATGTTAATTTACCAATTCCTTTCCATTTCTGTAAAGGGTTTCTCCTCCAAAATTCTATATGCATTTCTTGTCTCCTCCATCCAAGCTATATACCTGTTACTTTAATTATCTAGATTTCACTGCCATAAAAATACCAGGTGACCTGCTTAAATAACAAAAATTCCTCAACATATATTATCCTGTCATATTATTTAGTCTTCCTGGGTCCAAATACTTTTTGAGTATTTTGTTTTCAGACATTTGTATGAGCAGATGGAACACTTTACTTGTTACAATCAAGACAGCCCTCACTTATTCCCTCCTTCGGATATGATATATAAAGCATTAATGTTTTTGAAATAATATTTTTAGGTAGATACTAGCCATTCTGAGTTGTCAAGGTACATGAAGCACTGCTGCAGGGCTTCTTTTGGCTTGTCCACAGGATGTAAGGTGTCAGGAAACAGACCACTGTTCTGCTGCGTGCGGGTTCTGTCACGAAACTGCCTGTAAATTGATATAAACTAGGGCTTACTCTAGAACACTACTCTTGAAGCAAGTGGTTATAAAAAATAAAATTGCCCATGTTTAAAGAATTTTCTTCAACCTAATTTGACAGTAATATCCAGCAAACCACTGTACCTAGGCACATAAAATGTGGCACAGAGCTAAATTATAAACATGCTAACAAATAAGGTATGAAATATTGTAAGTTGCCCCACTTAATGATACCTGCACCTTGTCGTGGTAGTGGGGCTTGAGTACCTCAGTGACCCCAAGAGCTCCTCGTAGGGTCTCCCTAGCCAGATTTGTTACATAGGAAAGTATGCTTTATGAGTTCTGTCCAAAATTCACACAGCAATCCCTTCTCAACTACAGAGGTCATGTTCCTACAAATCACCATAGTCAGCAACACTTTACAGTATTGTTCTCAATGTTTATTTGAAAGTTGCAGAGGACAGTCAAGAATAAGACAGTAAATCCCACTTACATGTCTTAGCTGCTAGTTGTTGAGGGAGGCAGCATAAAAATTTATATAAAACAAAGAGGGCCTTTTGACAAGAGCATTTATGAGGGTTGTAGGGTCATCCTTCTAGAGTACACTGACTTTATTTTTGAGGAATAGAACCCAATATAATGATCACAAAGTCATGATGCAATGCATGCTGTGTCTCAAAAGGTTAAAGGTACATGATAGGACTCTAATATACAACGCACGATGTTTGTTTTTTGAGGTACGTACGTTCCTCTCAGAGTTGTTGCGGGAATCTTTGGACCAACTTGATGCTTGATGCGCCGTGTTTGCTTGATTGGGGCTACAGTCTCATTCTGAAAATTGTCTTCTACATTCAGATGCAGGTCAATAACTGAGCCAGTGCTGTATGTTGCCTGTGGGACCTGATGTTCATTATTCACATCTTCAGCACTTTCTTCATGTGACAGTATGGGGGGACTAAACTGTAAGTTGTGGAGGGGCAATACGCCTCCTCTACTGTTCGTGTCTAGCTCTATCACCTCTGTGGTAATGACTGGGCTTTCAATTGTTGGTGGTGCTGAGACTATAGGTACTGGTGAAACTGTAACAGATTCCAGTTGTTCCTGTTCCTAAAAATAAACAAATGATGAATCAGATTTAATGTTCATGCTGGAATTTCCAAGAACAGCATTATTTATTTTATGAGTAAAAGTAAAAATCCAATATTTAACTTTTCTTCTAGCCTCACCATACAGACTGAAACATTTGAAACAAAGGAGGGGACATAACAGGATGATTGTCTTCTGGAATGTTTTGCTGCGTAGTCTGGTAGACACTGATCAGTGTTTCAGAGGAATTTACTACCTCTATCATCAGGGCAATGGATTTATTTATTAACAAAATTTGGACTACGTTATTCATTATGAAATTCAGAAATCATTACAGATACATCCATGAGCAACGACCGTTTTACAATTCTTTTTACAACACACTGCAATCAAATTATTTTGAACACCACTATAACCAATTGTCCTCTCCATTTGTTCCCATGACATGCTGTGACATAAGTATTTGGACATTACTGCACCTACTTTTTGACCCCCCCCCCCTCCCAGAAAAGTCTATAAGTTTCCTGCAGTTGTCTCTCCAAATGGAATAATTTTTTGTATTCATGATTTCTCTTTATAATGTACCATTGGAAGTAATGCACTAGTGTATAAGTTTCTTGGACACACCAGTGCCTAATTTTGGAAATTAAAAAAAAAATATAACATTCATGGGGCTGTCTCTCCAAGTGAAGCATTCTTTGTCTTTGCCAATTTTTTACAACATGCTGTTTAAGAGAAACAGCAGCTGTTATCAGCCAAAGAAGTTTTCTGGCCAACTGTGTGCCTAAATTTTAAAATGGAAAAAATGCCACAATTCTCCCTGGGTTATCTCTCCAAGAGGAACATTTTTTAACTTTACCAATTATACATGGTGTCTGTAGTACTATGTGTTGGAAGATGTCAGGATGATAGTGGAAGGTTGTAGAACACACTCATTTGTGCACATTTAATAGGATATGTTATATTAGCAACTTTCTCAAAATCATTGAGGTTTATGAAATACTGTGCGAGGCAAAACATATGTAAGTTATCATTCCAAACATTTAAGACATTTTCTCTCAGGTTAATATCTAGTCCAAAAATGTACTTAAACCTTATATACGGCAAAGTTTAAATAAATGCAAGTGAATTAAACTCATATCTAGTAATAATCATCCACATGTTAGCATATTCAATGACACACAATTTTCAAGACTACCGAATCAACATAATAAATCATATCATCAGTTTATCTCAGTTATATGTACCTTCAATAGCTGGAATTTCAGGGCACGTTCTTCAGCCTCAAGAGCGTCCATGGCTGACACAGTTGAACTGGCCATCTGATTTAGAAAGAAAAGAGAAAGACAAGCAATTACTACGTAAGATTTGAGGTTTTCACAGCGGTGAGTAGGAAGACTTCTGTCTTCTGGGTTGTTGCGCTGTGTAGTCTGGTAAATGTTTACCATCATTTCTGATGATGGAGGCAGTATGACCTCTGAAACGTTGGTTAACATCGACCAGACTACACAGCACAACAACCCAGAAGACAGAAATCTTCGTACTCACCGCCCTGATGATGCAGGCAGTATGACCTCCGAAACGTTGGTAACATCGACCAGACTACACAGCGCAACAAGCCAGAAGACAGAATCTTCATACTAAGAATCGCCCTGATGATGGAGGCAGTATGACCTCTGAAACGTTGGTAAACATCGACCAGATTACACGGCGCAACAACCCAGAAGAAGGAAATCTTCATACTAAGAATAGCCCTGATGATGGAGGCAGTATGACCTCTGAAACGTTGGTAAACATCGACCATACTACACAGCGCAACAACCCAGAAGACAGAAAGCTTCAAGCATTTACTACATTAGAAGTTCTGAACTACTCTCACTGAAATCAAAGAATATTGCTACACTAAGCATAATTAAATTAGCAGTGAATAAAAAAAATCCCATTCAAACAAGATCCTCATTACAGGCCACATTCATTACACGAGACTTCTACAGTACCATGACAAAACAGATTACATGTGAATCCATGTAGCAAATGTGATTATTGTGACTTACTGCATGAGATGGTGAGTCTTCTCTCCCTGCCTCATCAGTTTCATCGAAACTCTTGAACTCCAGATCATCCTGTTCCTGAGGTACAGGAGATGTTTTTATCCTGGAGAGTTGGGGTGTTGAAGGATCCACAGGGGGCAAGAATGGCTCAGCAGGTGGGGTAAACAGCCCACTTGGTATTTTACTTCCATTTTCAGGAAACATGCCAGCTGTTGATAAACACAATAACAAGTTTGCTTTGTTATTATTAACGGTGAACTCAGCAACATGCTAACAGTACCAGTTTTGTTGCTAACAAAAAAATTAGTGATCAGCCCTATCTTCAAGGCTTCTACCTATTCAAACACAGAAAGATGAAGACAAACATCCATGCCTTGAGTGGGACTCGAACCCATGGTCGCAGCGGCCAGGCACACGAGGTCCATGCCTCAGACCGCATGGCCACTGCGCCAGTACATTAAATAAACAACTACAGCATATTTATCTGGTTTTCTGGGTTCTGATGACATGTAATCTAAGTGGTCATCAACATTCGTCTGAAACTTTGATAACCACTTACAAGAATACGCTGACTCACATCGAACATAATTGAACGGTTAACACTCCCACTTCGTACGTGGTTTTACTCAGTTTATATAGGTAAAAGCTGAAATAGTACCTTAAACTAGGTCATATCGTTTCGAATTCATTATCATTAATCATCCTTATCATCTAATATTACATAGTCTGAGAATCTGACAGCGTCGTTAGACCTTGGGTCACACAGCCCAGAGGACCCCAACCCTCATTTCCACCTGTGTCAAAATCTCAAAACTCAAGTACAGAATAAGTCACAGTGTCAACCATTCAGACATGAGTAATTTACTCAAGTGGTCACGAAAACAGAGAAATTCCATACCTGGTGACAAATCGTGGCGAACTCCCTGCCTGGCTAATACAGGCTTCTGGGGAATGGTGCAGTCATCAGCTGCCTCGCCTTTGAAGTTAGATGACCTGCAATTACAAAATATTTATTCTGCAATAAATGTTAAATTGAAATATGCCATTATTAACAGATGTTAAAAGTGGCTATGGGTTTCTGGTTTGCAGTGCCACGTGGTCTTTCCTCCAATGTTTCGGAGGAACAGACGATTTCAACTTCAGGGCGAATACAACAGAGCAAACCCCTATCAACATCATCACTACAAGAACCTCAAATCTGAGGATCATTAAAGCACTGACTGTTGAGATTAATTTCATGTTTCTGTAAGACTGGATTTAAAATAGCATAATTAATGTGATCCTTAACATTGATAAGTGTCTATGAAAATTCTGTATCAGAGGCGAATCGTTTATTAGAAACAGTATGATGGTGTAACTAAACTAAAATTTAACACTAGAGACACAAAATTTGTGGATGTGTTTATAAAAAAGCAACAAACAAATTTCTTACGTCAGCCAAGAGCTTTAAGTGTCCTGTTATTGTTTACACTGTCTATGAAATTTATTAAAAGATCCAACTGAAGATCAATCTAACGAGTGACAGGTCTACAAGTAATTACAAAGCATTAAGTATACAACATAATAAATAATATAGTTCCTATTTTAGTAATTCATTTAAAAAAAACTTTCGGCGAAGAACGGCCACCTAAACTGAGTTGCCAGAATAACGCAATGAGAATACAGAGGGAACAGAAAATCGATGAAAGTTCATACAAGAGGCAATAAGTGCTTGGTCTAAAACTCGTGGAAGAAGAAGAAATTAGTAGATTTGTTTGACAACGATCCAAACAATATTTCAAGTGTTGCTGCATATCATTTATAATCGTACTATAAAGGGTTTGACATGAAAGAAATGGAATAACTGTGAAAACACGCAATAAACAGATGTGTTGTTGTGGGTGACATTTGTACTTATCACTAAAGACTAATGTAATTATGAGAAATGTCACCAACAAATCGTTTGCCTTCTGTAATGCAAATAAAACAAATACACGATAATGGGGCATTGAGAGATCAAATTATTGTTCCAGTGTTCATACCACAAACAAATATTTTAAATGTAAGACTTGAGGTTCTCACAGCGGTGAGTCTTCATACTAAGAATCGCCCTGATGACGGAGGCAGTATGACCTCTGAAACGTTGGTTAACATCGACCAGACTACACAGCGCAACGACCCAGAAGACAGAAATCTTCATACTCTGATGACGGAGGTAGTATGACCTCTGAAACGTTGGTTAACATCGACCAGACTACACAGCGCAACGACCCAGAAGACAGAAATCTTCATACTCTGATGACGGAGGTAGTATGACCTCTGAAACGTTGGTTAACATCGACCAGACTACACAGCGCAACAACTCAGAAGACGGAAATCTTCAAATATTTTAAATGTTCTAGAGCAACACCATTCCTAAATCAAGGCCTTCCGGGATGAAAAGATTCACGGAGTTAATGTTATTTTAGTATGTTAACGATGTGCTTGCCGGTTTATTAAACGTGTTATCAACTGAACAGTTCATATACCGGAAAATGAGGTAGGGAAATGATCATAAATAATGAGTAAAGCATCTGGAAGGAGACGGCAGTCACCTACGAAGAACGTGCGATCCAAGTACTAGCACGGCGAGACAAAAGCAAGAATCTCAATCCTGCTGGCCTAAAAGAAACTGCAATCACACAAACTTAGAGTAAAGAACATGATGAGACAACATGACAAATAATGCCTGTAGATCGCAATAAAGGTATTGCGTGAAAGGGTGGAAGAAAGCTCCAGCAATGCTGCAAACATTATCGAGGGCATCATGCCAGGAAAGCGTAACAACAAAATGGCTGACTTACAGGAGACCAAGTTTTTACACTTATATGGTTTGACGAATGTGCATTATTAGTGTTCATGTGCCAAAATGTTACTGTATTTCTGCGTAGAGCAGCGTCAGCATCAAGTTCTTCTGGCATGACACCCTCGATACAGCAGGAGACGATATACTAGAAAAAAGATGGCTCAAACATATTTGTCGAGTAGTTTGCACTTCTGTTTCGTATTTCGAAAGTCACTCGAGAAGTTCTCGCCCCAGGGACTGGCTTTCATGTGGTTTTTCGTGGTTCTCCTCGGTTCCTTCAGGAAAATTCTAATATAATACTTTAAACAGGCAGTGATGGCCTCTTCTTTGATCGGCTTTTCCAACTACTCATTCACAATCATCCTATTTGTAGTTATACGACCTATTCAGTTGATAAAACGTCGTTAAATAAACCAAGACTAAAACAAAAACAACGAGAAAACAATGTGACGCGTCTCATTTGTACTGCCGATACAAGCCTTGGCCATCGTGATCTCACAGACTACACACAATCTTTGCATTCAATACATCGTCGTTAAACACCGTACGAACCAAGATGAGCTGTTCTAGAAATAACGATATAAGTTTTAGTTTCCATGTCCAATGAAATGTTCCAGCCTGGAAGGAACGTGAAATGAATGGTGTTAATCCCAGGTTCTCTACGCCATCGGCACACGCAGCCCTATTAGCTCGCCGGCAATGCGGGTTGCTGCTTGATAAACATTATCGCCAAGCTTATGAGTTCCTGGCGTTGTAATAGTGCAGTCCTGTGACGTGTCCTGACTCAATAAAGCGTTTTCGCTGTGCCAGGGCGCAAGATGAGTGTGTGGTGACGATTTATAAAATCCAAACGGAAAGTGGAAAGGAAATTACCTTGTGGTTTGTTTCGAGTATCCTATGACTGTACCACTTCCTCAGATAAAACTATAAAATAGAAAGCTTCGTAATTTGTAATCTTCACCACAAATTATTAGAGTAGGCCTAATAAAAACAAGGAGAGTAAGATGGGCGGGACATGTAGTGCGCAAAAGAAAGACAAATGCACACAAAATCTTAATTGTAAAATCTGAAGGAAAGAGACGAGTTGCAAGACCTACGCGTAAATGTAAAGATAACACTAGAATGTATCTTAAAATAAATGTTTTCGGGGTTGGTATGGATTCATCCGAGTAGGATCTGGGGGTCCGAAGATTAAAATGGACCATTTCTTGGGAACACGGTAATTAAAACATGGAAGACCAAGAAGTATATGCGATTACAGTATTAAGATAGATTTTGGGAAGGTACTTTGTGAGAATGGGACGCGTACGGAACTGGGTCAGGACTGTGTTCAATGATGGGCTTTGGGACTATAGTAATAAACCTTCGTGCGCACAAAATGCATCGTAATAAGAAAGCATATCTGCTCGTACGTATCTTTCATCCTTGAAACTAAAGAACAGATTTAAATCAAATTTTGTATTGGTAATCTTCACTAAAAGTTGTGGGGCGAATTTAATTTTAGTCCATACCGGTCAAACACAAACGCCAAACTTACATGAAACCCAAATACAATTTTACAAGTTTCTTTAAGAAGGACTCTTAGTACAAACAAATTCTGCACAACACAAAACATTCTTGCTATGTAATTGTACTCCAGTATGAAGATGGCTGTTTTTGGGATGTTGCACCGTCTATTATTATTATTATTATTATTATTATTATTATTATTATTATTGTTGTTGTTGTTGTTGTTGCATCTATACACCATTTTACAGGGTATTTACTTCTATGCACCTGATACAAACCTTGTCCCTGAGGTACCTAGTGCAGTAGCTATTTCTGAAATACATTTTGTTTCTTAATACGTGTTACATACATTAAACAGATTTCGTGTGAGGCATTATATATGTTACATTACCGTCTTTCGAATGACGTATGATGTTCATAGAACGGCGGTTTTCTGAGGTTCCCAAATATCGTGTTCGCCCGGGATGTTGGCCAAAATTTTTTGACGTAAATACGTCTATATTTTAGGGTCAGTGTCATTCGGCAAAAAGTGTTACGAAAAAGGGAAACGAAAAAGTGTAACTTCTTTGTTATGTTACCTAGGAAACGTCAAACTTCATTGTTATGTTACCTTGGAAACGTCATCTTTTTATCAACAAATAAACAACAATGGTTACCTACATAGTTACATTACATTACATTACTTTACCTTACATTACCTTACCTTTCATTACAATACCTTACCTTACATTATATTACTTTACATTGCATTCATCTACCACAGACCCATCTTAAGCGTAACTAATTCAAGTTAAATAAGCAATGTCTTAATAAAACTTATCTCGATTGTAAAGCATGTATAAAAGAAATATGTAGAATAAAACCAATAAATAAATTTCCTTTCCGTATAGACGTATTTACGTCAAATTCTCCGGAACCGTGGTTCCACTGACAACTTTTTGATCGATTTGGAGACAGTTTCAGTTGCTCCTACAATTATTGGAATTACGTTTGCTTTCACTTTCCACATTCGTTGTATTTCAAGATCTTCTCTGCTTCTTTCTTAATTACAATTCTATCGGTTGGTATTTCTATATCAATTAAGAGACAAGTTCCATTTTTTGTTTCGAAATTATTATTTATTATTATTATTATTAGTTTATTTAACGAAGACTTTTCAGTAGCTCAGACTATACAGCGTCGAAAATGTGGTATTACACGGCACAACATCCCAGAAAACAGCCATCTTACAGTTTATTTTAAGTGGTAATGACACACCAAAGACATGCAGAGCAAAGACCTATTTCGTAGAGTTATAGGTCCTTCATCGTGTTACATGGCTTAAGCGAGTATTAAAACAGTTGCGACGAGGAGCACAGTATGTCGAAATACGTCCCTTTATTTCTACCCCGTACTTATTAAGTGGTGGCGTTAAGGAGATGACAGGTGTAGAAGCCAACGTTCCCATTTCGTTATCGGAAGTTTCTTGTGCTGATGTCCTGTGACGACACCGGAACAGACAAGGACAACAGCAACACATAAGGCACCCCGTTTCTGACGCCTGAGGTTGATGTTTCTCATTACTGTTGTTATTATTGTCATCATCACCTCGTCCGCCCAAACAACCACACAGCTTCAGTAACATCGATGATTTTCTTCTATCGTTCCTCAGGTACTTTCC